TGGTTGTAATTAAGTTTAACCCTGATAGGAGTATAACTAGCTTACTATTCCTTTCCAAAAGTGAAACAATAGCTATATTATGTTGGATGCAGCTTGTATCAGAAATCCATCAGAATGTTTAAGATTAACATGATGATAGTGGTTCATGCATGATTCCAAGGCACCAAACGTGCAAAATACTACTTGTCACGGAAATGAGGTGGTGAACTGCTTATAGAATGGCAATGTGGTTAATTTCAAACGCTAGAATAGTCTCGTATTAAATTAGCTCTGTTTTGCATTTGCAAAAATATAAAATATAATATAATAAAAAATTATTTTCTCCTTTCTTCTTATACTTCACTGCTAGTTGCTTTTTACCAATATTTTCCTTGCTATTTAAAACCAATGAATTCTCCAACAAATTGCTCACTTTTTTTCACACAAATACCCCAAAGGACTGATGGTATGTATCAAAAGATCTCAGTAGTTGCATGAATATATAGAGTGGCCTCTAGGGAAAATGTTCAGATAGTAAGCAAGCACCAAACTTTTAACAAAAAGTTCTATCAAATTGTTGTCCTCTCCAGTTGCATGCAGGGCCCACTGCAAAAGTGAGGATATCGAAAACGACTAGAGTCCTTAAACATTTGAAGGGCACCAAACTAAACGAAGATAAAAGGACAACAGCCGCCACCATATTAACAAAAATCCAGCTGTTGTTTGCTAAACTCAACAAGGAAAACCCTTAGAGCCGGTGATTCCAGAAAGTATTATAATACATCACTTCCATATTGGCCTCTTTTAGAACAAAAATTAAAGTCAGATCTTTTTGGGAAGAGAAAAAAAAAAGGGGAAAGAAGGCCACCAGTATAGGAGCATAGAACGTTCAAAAGGCAACAAAAAGCAGAAAGAAAAGAGGGAAAGCCCTAAAGTTAACAGGAGAAAACAAAAAGAAAAAGAGAACTTTTTCATGCTCATTTGATCAAAAGCTGCAAAAAAAAATCCAATCTTTCTAGCACGATACCATAGATAAGCCGGGGAGACGCTAAGATCATGAAACAAACAAGACGAAGAGATGAGAAACCCACCTCCTTTCTTTTGATCTTCTTCTCTTTACCGCTGAGAAGTCGTTTCGCCTCCATGGATTCCACCAACCAAAGCAGAACCACGTCCACTCCTAGTCTCCCCTCGCGTCTCCAAGAAAGACTCCCTCCCCCACTCTCCGCGTGTCCGTCGCTGTCTCCGTCATTTTCTTCCTTCGGGCTACTCTCTGGAGAGGAATCGACCGCAGGGGAGCGAAAGGGCGACGAGGCGAAGGACGGGTCCTGCAACGGGAGATTTAAAGAACGGTGGCCCACCACCCTCACACCGAACAGTCGCCGAGTACGAGGAGATACGGCCACGACACCTGCGGGCCACCCGTTCCGTCGAGTTTTCGTCCGCACTTTGGAGCGGATCGGATTTATGACATACCCGCGTCCGATCCATTTACAATCATAATGTGAAATATTCGAGTCGGATCTTTTATTTCAGATCATGTATTCATTAATTAGTAGACAAATTAATGATTAACTATACGTCGATCCTTTCACTATATATTGGCCTGAAATATATTGGCCTCCATTAACCCGGTCGAGTAGAATGGCCCGAGTCATTGGCCACCATTAACCCGGTCCGGTTCACGAGCGGGAAATATTAGCTAATGGCCCGGACCGGGTTGGGTCTGAATTGGCTTAGACTGGCTTAATTTGCATGCCACACAGAGTTAGAAGATAAAATAAGCCTAACATATCCAACTAAGAGTAACTATCAAAAGTAATCGATATAAATTAAGACAAAGGGATTGAAAATGGACTTGGATAGAACAATAAGCAGTTCTAAGGTGAAATCCTTTGAGCATCTTTGAAGTGAGCTATACTCTAATGACCTTTTGGAGTCATTAAGAAGCCCACTTCTATGTCTTCCTAACTAAGCTTTTCATGGGTTAGAAGGAGATCTTATAAGAGACTAGAAAGGATGCCCTCCTCAAAACATAATGCTTGGTGTTTAAGCACAATGCTTGCAAAAACAAATCAGCAAAACATGAGCTAATTTTAGTGAGTTATGGTTTCCATCACCATCAGATTTGATGTTTCATATTCTTTAGAATCATTATGACCTTGCAAGCTAAACTTCTTTTTCCATGCTTGCAACTTGTGCTTATCTTACATGATACACTGATGTAACTCTAGATTAACTAGTTAAAGATTGTCTGGCTACCATTTCCCCACTCAGCTTAATTGATAGTAGATAGAGTAGTAGATCAATCAGCTGTTTTAATGAGAAGTACTTATCAAGATCACTTCCTCAAGTACCCATCAGTCTATAGCAAAGAATATGGACTTAGTTGATGTTGGAAGAAAAGAATATGTTCAAATCTAATTATTTGGAAGTTAAGATGTAGTTTTAGCAAATGGAAGATCAAAGCTTTTCTAGTAGATAGCCAGCTATGATGAACATTATGGATTCCTTGTCATGTTCCTCATTAGGCCATTACAAAATGAGCCACCTAATTCTGGGTCCATGAGAACAATGCCAATATGATGAGACTCTCTATCATAAACAGGGAAATGTAGAAAGAGGGAAGTGGTGGTTCATGCATTCTGATCAATTATTTCACTTATTTAACAGCTTTTCCACTAACCATTAAACTTGTAGGGTTTCTGCTGCACCTTGATTGATCATATACTACTGCTTCAAACCATGTCATCATCATGATATTTTATCCTTGGGATATAAAAGATTGACATGTTAATCATATACCCAGCTATGGCAAGTGAGAGGCACATGATAACATTATAAATATCATACTCAGAAGTAGAGAAAAGGGAAGTGATTTGGTGCATTGATTGGTTGTGGTGATGACATAAGATAAATAGAGTAATTGAAGGTGTTTAGAGTATTTATCATTAATGATGAAGCAAAGAACTTCATAAGATATTAATAAAAAAAATTAAAATCAGAATGAAAGATTTTGTATTCAAATCATATCTAGATTATGCATTTAAAATTTTTTTCTATTGATCTAGGTTTCAGGTGTTGAGTTGGAAGCAATTAATCAGCCATTCACATGTGAAGGAAAGTAATAAGAATATAAATCAATAAATCATGTCTCATTTATGGACTCAAACTTTTAGATATATATGACATTAATCAAAGCTGGTTGAGCAAATTTCTTAATCTAAATGAGCCAAAATTAAAGAAAAAGATTCTGTTAGATGGGTTAGGGAACTCAGATCTAGATGTTGCTTACATGGTATTAGAGCTTTAAGATTCATAATTAGGGTAAGCTTAGTCCTTCTAATAGACTAGCTTTTTTGAGCTGTTATTTTCTATATGGAACATTTATAGTTAGGTTTAGGAGTTGCAAACCTCTTCAAAAGAATGTAAGCTGATCTTACATCTGCATTCCTATTTGGCTTCCTTGAGGAATATTAATGTCACTACTGAAAATGAGAGAGAGAGAGAGAGAGAGAGAGAGAGAGATTGTAAGCAGTTCCAGGCATTAAGAATGTTCCAATGTGATAATTTATAGCTTTTGTGCATCAACCAACTGGCAGCAGCTAGTTTATATATCAAGAGAAAAATGCAGATATGGTACTTCCAGGAAGATAAAGAAAAATAATATAAGTAGTGGCAACATCGCAAAGAGAGAGAGAGAGAGAGAGAGAGAGAGAGAGAGAGAGAGAGAGAGAGAGAGAGAGAGAGA